AGCAGGCACAGGCCAGCTCAGGCTTTTCACCCCTGAGTCTGCCTAGGGCAGCAGGGTTAGAGCCTGGAAGAGCAGTGGCTGTTTCTGCACTGCCAAACCCAGACTGGAACAGCAACAAATACCATCTTCCGTGCTAATACAGGAAAACTGGGAAGTCCTTCTGCAGCACAGGCCACCGAGCAGACACAAGATACGGGCCTAGGAGCAGCACATCCCAGCATTTCCCAACCCTCCTGGGCAGGCAGCTGAGCATTAACTGACTTCTAGCCCCTCACTGCAAGTTTGTGACCCCGACTGAGCACCAGGTCTGGGTTACCTCTATGGTATCACTCAATTTGATATTCAAGCAACATAAATACGAGCAGACATTTCAAGAGCTATCCTTAGGAAGCACAGGCTGGATGCAGTGCTGGAGGTGCAGTTGGCATGTTTGGTAACTTGACTGGGGAAAAGGGGCAGACAGACACCTTCCCCCAGCCAGACACATTCCCCCTTCTCAACCCGCCTCCCCAGCAGCAACCTCATTCTCATGAGATTTACGTTCCACAAGTTGAGGAAAGGAGCATGCCTTTGGTGGCAAACAGGACTTCAGTGACTCCTTAAGGAGGAAGCCTGTTAGAAGTTTCTGCAGAAGAAAAAAGATGCCTGTCTTCTAGATGTCAAACTCGACTGTACATTCCTCCTTTGGCTCTTCCAGGACAGAAATCTGCTCTCAGCAGGGGGAACCACAGTAGCAGAATCACACAGCTTGAAGTGTGGCCAAAACAAACCCAGCTTCCTAAACCCACAGCCTTGAGGCCCTTTCCCTTCTTCACAGTTTGTGTCACAGCACAAGGTCATGTTATTCCCAGAAGATCTCTGTGGGTTTCCTAGGCTCTTTCAGCAGCCTTGCTCTGGAAGTTTCAAGGCTCAAATCACTGGCACAGGATGCCCAGAGAAGCTGTGGCTGCCCCATCCCTGGCAGTGTTCAAGGCCAGGTTGGACAGGGCTTGGAGCAACCTGGTCTAGTGGAAGGTGTCCCTGCCTGTGGCAGGGGGTTGGAACTGGGTGAGCTTTAAGGTCCCTTCCAACACAAACCATTCTATGATTCTATGATACAATTCTAGTGTCTGACTTAAATTCAGTCAACTAACGCAAGGCCCATGCTCCTGTCTCACCCCAGCAGGCACACAGGCCATCTCCCCTTCCTCACCATCACTATTTACATACCTCACTGTTCCCACTGCTCTTCACCTCGGCTGAGCTGCCTCCATCTCCCTCCACCACTCCCACATCTCGGCCATACCCACTTGCTCCCAGGCTGTCTCAGGCAAACCCTAGGGATCCCTGGTGAGGGATTAGCAGCAATTAGGAGCACACCAAACTCACAGCTCCACACAGCACCAGGCTAGCCCAGTCACTGGTACCCAGTGCCCTCAGCCTCTCATTCCCAGCACTCCTGCCAGGATGCAGCAGAATTACACACCAGTTACTCACAGGATCCACCCAGTGCCCCCTGATGTACTTCCCTCCACCCCACAGATGCATTTGACTAAGCCATCCAGGAAATGCTCTCCAAGGGCCAGGAACCTTGCCACATGCCTCCAGCAGCATTAACTATACTTAATTAGTTTCCCAGCTAATTTTAAACCAATCTGCCTACCTGTGGGAGCAGCAAAAGCCTCAAGACAACAAGAGATTTTCTGCTGTCTCTGATAAAGTTGACAAGTAATCCAGCACTTGGTGCTTGTTGCCTAAACCACACCAAACCCATTCAGCTCTGGCTGCCAAGAAACTGGCACATTTCCTCCAGACCCACACACATCTCAGTTGATTCAGGCAGCTTGAGACACCTGAGTGATTAGATACACCCTGAAAACATCCTGAACACAAGTAAACTTACCACTAGCAAGAGGGAACACCGCTTCTGCAAATATATTCAAAGTCTTATGCAGAATATATCCCAAGAAACAAGTCATCTCCTCCGAATTTACTTCAAAGCATTTAAATCTTTCATTGCTAAACTCTACCTATCCCTCCCAAGCCTCCAGCAAACTGAAGCTGTGGCAGGGAAAAAACAACTAACTGGTAAGAGGCTGAGAAAGAAAACTTGCTCAAAGCCAAAAATAACATCATCAAGGTTAAACTTGGTACTGCAGGTGAACACCACACATCTAGCATCAATGTAATCTGAAGCAGCAGGACCAAGTGCTGCCGGCTGGGCTGTTACAACCGCTGGTACCAACTCCTGTGTGTCAGCCCTGATGAGACACTCCTTCACTAACGGTTTTGCCAACTGCAGGTAGCACAGAGGAAAAGCACTACAATTCTTTATGAGTAGCTGCTGTTCTGGGGCAGCGCATTTCCAGCCAAAATAATGCACTGCAGCATCACTAGTCACACACAGGACTCAAGGGGTGAAACCGCAGACTTCCCAGATCCCTGCAGAATTAACTACTTCAGGGTGTATATGGCCTTTGTGGCAGCAGCCTTCAGTGAGCAAACACGAGCTGCAAGCTATCCCAGGCACTTTAGACGCTGAAGCTTGCCTCATGAAGAATACAGTTCAGCAAGAAGCTGAGTTTAAGGCTCTGTGAGCATTTTTTCCTTTACATCCCAGTTCATTTATCACGATTTTACAATAAGATCAAGGTGAGAGCACATAGAATCCTAGAATAGTTAGGGTTAGAAAGGACCTTAAGATCATGCAGTTCCAACCCCCTGCCATGGGCAGGGACACCTCACACTAAACCATGTCACCCAAGGCTTCATCCAATACTGCCAGGGATGGAGCATTCACAGCTTCCCTGGGCAACCCATTCCAGTGCCTCACCACCCTTATGTAATGAATTTCTTCCTTACACTCAATCTAAACATCCCCCGTTTAAGTTTTAACCCATTACCTCTTATCTTGTCACTACAGTCCCTAATGAACAGTGCATCCACAGCATCCCTATAGGCCCCCTTCAGATACTGGAAGGCTGCTATGAGGTCTCCATGCAGCCTTCTCTTCTCCAGGCTGAACAGCCCCAACTTTCTCAACCTATCTTCATGTGGGAGGTGCTCCAGTCCCCTGATCATCCTCGTGGCCTCCTCTGGACTTGTTCCAACAGTTCCATGTCCTTTTTATGTTGAGGACACCAGAACTGTACACAATACTCCAAGTGAGGTCTCACGAGAGCAGAGTAGAGGGGCAGGATCACCTCCCTCGCCCTGCTGGTCACGCTCCTTTTGATGCAGCCCAGGATACGGTTGCTTTCTGGGCTGCAAGCGCACACTGAAGCCGGCTCATGTTCAGTTTCTCATTGACCAACACCCCCAAGTCCTTCTCCACAGGGCTGCTCTGAATCTCTTCTCTGCCCAGCCTGTAGCTATGCCTGGGATTACCCCAACACAGGTGTAGGACCTTGCACTTGGCATGGTTAAACTTCATGAGGTTGGCATCAGCCCACCTCACAAGCGTGTCAAGGTCCCTCTGGATGGCATTCCTTCCCTCCAGCGGATCAACCGAACCGCACAGCTTGGTGTCACTGGCAAACTTGCTGAAGGCACACTCAATCCCACTGTCCATGTCAGCGACAAAGATGTTGAACAAGACCAGTCCCAACACCGCTCCCTGAGGGACACCACTCATTGCTGGTCCCCAGCTGGACATTGAGCCACTGACAACTCTTTGCATGAAGCCATCCAGCCAGTTCTTTATCCACCGAGTGGTCTATCCATCAAACTGATGTCTCTCTGTTTTAGAGACAAGGATGTAGCGTGGGACAGTGTCAAACACTTTGCACAAGTCCAGGTAGATGACATCAACTGCTCTACCCCTGTCCATCAGTTCTGTAGCCCCATGATAGAAGGCCACCCAATTGGTCAGGCAGGATTTCCCCTTAGTGAAGCCATGCTGGCTGTCACCAAGCACCTTGTTCATTTTCATGTGCCTTAGCATGCCTTCCAGGAGAGTCTGCTCCAAGATTTTGCCAGGCACAGAGGTGAGACTGACTGGTCTGTAGTTCCCTGGGTCATCCATTTTCCCCTTCTTGAAAATGGGGGTTATATTCCCCTTTTTCCAGTTGTTGGGAACTTCACCTGACTGCCATGATTTTTCAAATATGACAGCCAGTGGCTTAGCAACTGCATTTGCCAGCTCCTTCAGGACCCGTGGATGGATTCCATCAGGACCCATGGACTTGTGCACGTTCAGGTTTTTAAGGTGGTCTCAAACCAGATCCTCTCCTACAGTGGGCCCAAGGTCCTCATTCTCACTGTGCTTTTGCACAGGTAGTCTTCTGACTGATGTACAAATGTGGATATGAATGCCTGTGAAGTTTTATTGGAATCAAAGCCCTTGACAGTATCAGAAACTAAAGGGAACAAAATGAAGTAACACAAGGGGGTTGTTCTGCAGTAAGAATGAATCAAAACTGAATACATGCATTAGACTGATTTAACATTGCATCCAAAAGCAATGAAGTTTACATCTTGCATAAATTCTTGGTAGTTAGACCTGGACACACTCTTCTCCCTGGACACACTATCCTCCCATGATCTGCCAGGGGAAAATTAAGCATCAAGTTTAAACTGTCTGAATTTGGCAACATCAAGTTTAGCCTACAACTCCAATAAGGTAACTGCTTTAAGAAGTCACTATAAGAGTCTTCCACTTCAAACCAGCAAGGGAATTGCATCATACATCCTTCATAGCAAAATATTTACAAAAATGTTAAACTATTGCTGAAGCAATTTAATAGATCTGAAGTCTACAATCTGCTAATGCTTATCTAGCAATCTTTTTTTTTTTTTAATCCTACACTCAGTGTAATTTAAATAGCATTTGAGACATTCCAACAGGAATCACATTGCACAGAAGCAGCAATTTGCTTCTCTCACATACTTGCACACCTGCTTAGAGCCTGTGCATTTAGTGCACAAGTTCACAATGCCAAGCTTCAACACAGGTAACTAATAAATGGTTCAGAACAAAGTTCTTTGGACTAAGGGCAGGCATCTCAGTCTCTAGGCTGCCATGACTTAAGGCTTCTTGCAGTTTTATTTGCTTGGTCAGTGAAAGCCAGACGTGTCATCCACTTTCTCCCCTGGTTTGCAGTGTCAGAGAGGCACACTGGTGACAGGTCAGTTGTGGGTCACTCCGAGCCCTTCTGGAAGGAGGGATGCAAAGAAAGTCTTGAAGAAAACCCACACGGTGCCCATCAGTGAGGGGTTTGTCTGCTGCAGCTCTTGTAAGCCTTGGCCATCATCAGGAGATGCCTCAGATTCACCTGCTCCACCTGCATTCCCCTCCTGCCAAATGAAAGGGTATTTGGTGAATAAGGTCATTTCAGAAATGCGTTAGAAGTATCAGGTGTCAAACCCAAATACCTCTTGTCATAATATAAAAAGCTTACAAGTATCCCAGACAACCACCACCAAGTCAAAAACCCAAGCTGCACACTGGTGTTACTGGTGAACTCTCATAGCATGTCCAGGAACACTGCTTAGGACAGACATGAAGAACCAGGCTCAGGTGAAATGCAGATGAATTCACAACTTTCCCTGACATCAGACAGAAGCACTGGCTTGAAATGCATGACCGACTGCTTACCAACTCAAATCCTGCCACCAAGGTACCACTCTAAGCCCTGCCTTCAGCTACAGAACCTGGGACAAGCCACTCTCCATACAAAATCCTGAAGGACAGAAGCAACTAAGTGATAACGTTCAGCCTGAAATACTTTGTAGAACAGAGGAACTAGCGAAGGAGGATTCAGGCTGGCAGTTCTGCCCCCACGAAAGATAGCTTTTGAATAAAGTTCAAAGAAAAGTTGTTACTGCAACATGTCATTAGTAAACTGAAAGTAGAACTCCACAGATTTTCTTGCTCATGGTTTAAAAACAAAATAACAAGACAATACCTGTAAGTTATTGTTCTGGTCCTGGTTTATAGCTGCTTGAGGAGGAGCATTCCCTGGGAAGGGCTGAACTGGTCTTCGTCTAAATGGGAACCATCCAACATGGCGCCTGGGGAAGGCAGTAGATTTGTATTAATACTACTTAAACATTACTCCTTCCTGTTACACCAATACAGCTCAGAGCTGCAGACAGTAAGGTCAGCATATTAAGGTCTCTTTCTGCCCTAACCCAGCAAGCACTTTCAAAGCCTCCTGTTAGCAGCAAGCCACAGGGTAAGTGGGGAAGGCTGACCATCATCTTGCACCCAGAATAAGCAGCACTACATCCAAGGGTGTATCCAGCATGCTGCCAGAGTGCCTGCTTGGTCACCATGCTCTGTGCACCCCAGCGTAATTTCCCTGTACTCACCCTAAGAAAAGGGGCACAAGGAATATATGAAATGCAGCACTCTGACCAAAACATAGGCCATGTAGACCTTCTTAAAAGGTCTGTATCTCTACAGTACAGACATGTAACCCACAAAGCAAGCTGTTCACATTACACTTTAGAACTACTAACAGCAATTAATCTTCACTCTCCTAAGTCTGCATAGGGTCGGCAGAACTGATCATTTGAGCTGCTCCAGCTTTAACTCTTAGACCTACTGGCAGGAATTCAGAGGTCTACATCACATGTTTCATAGGTGATCAAGGAAACTGAGAGGAGAGGTTATCTTTCCCAGGCAAGACATCCCAAAGCACATCAGCTGAGGACCTATTATCTTTACTGTGCTTCTAAGATTTATCCCAACCTTTCTAACACAATAATAAATATTAACACCATACACTTACAGGTACATCAGGATACTGCCACCCATTACCAGGAGGAATCTGCTGACACTGGAGTAGAAATAGATCATGTTGACAAATACATAGAACAACGTTGCCGAGTAAAGCCAGTCCAACCAATCTCGACGGCCAGCCTCCTCCTCTTCCTCCATGAGGCGACCCCCTTGTGCATTCATTTGCAAGTTACGGTTGGCCACTGCGTTATCCTGAGCAGCAGCATTCTGGTTTCCAGGCTGATTTTGTGCAGGAAATGTGTCTGGGAGAGGAGCTGGTGTTGTCACTGGTGCCACTGGAATCTCTTGAGAATGTTGTGCATGGGATGAGTCAGCAGATGCAGCAGTAGAAGCCAAGCTGAAACCAGAGAACACAAAAGTACAGAATAATGCATAGTCAAGTAATTTCACACTTAACACATGCACTGAAAGTTCATCCATCTTTAAACAGAGTCAGATTACATGCAAGTAGAAAGCATCAAGTTTAGAGGATACAGAAACCCAAGTTTCGGTTCTATCCATGACAACAGTTACACAGAAGTGACTTCAGAAAGTCAAACCAGGAACCTTCCACTTTATGAACAACTTCAATACTTTGCAAAAAAACTCTTCAGCAATCCACAAATAGTCTGGAAGCCTCCTGCCAATCTCAGCTTTACCTCTACTACCTATTTTCAGTCAGTGCCTCTCTGTGCTACTTTAAGCAGTCAAAAATATGGTGAAGAGCTAAGGTTTATCATCAGGATTACAGTTACTCTACAGACACATGCCCTCCCAAAAGAATCAGAGCTGCAGATTGCAAGATTCAAAACCACTGGCCTCAACCAGAAGCCATGCACTACATGATAGGTAGAGGAACATTCCCACACCATTCAGTGTGAAGTTATAATACTAACTACCATCAAAAGAAGAACTGACAGCAGCTCTCTATTCCCTTGTATTACAGTTCTACTTACTACTGGTAGCTTTGGACAGGAAACTTACTATTGCAAGTAGTACTGTCTTGCATAGATCTGATGGAACCAGGACATCTGAAGGATGTTGTAGGTTGTATACACAGAGAAGCCAGGAGCCACACTTTGGAAGGGATATTGAGTTGTTTCCAGCCTTGGTTAAAATTTAAACACATTCATTAGCAAATACTGGACAAACTGCACAAGTCATTTATTACAGGACAATGTAAATAGTTTCTGCCATTTTGCAAACCCTAATGCAAAATCAGGGCTTCCTTCCAGAGCATTAACGACATCTCTTTACCAACATGAATAAAGGGATGATTTTTTTCAATTAACAGAGCAGTGCATTTTTCTTCAGCTTCTTACGTGTCCACTAAATCTTTTATATACAATTTCATCATCTTTGACCCATATTATGTGGGCTTAAGACAATGTATGCAGCATAAGAAGCTGGTATCCAACACAAAGCCAGTGTTTTCAAAGTCATATTTACCTATTACTGACTTCTGCTGAAGACTGGCCACCAGAAGAACGTCTCAGTCTTTCACCATCTGAGGAAGACACAGCTGGTTCTTGACTAGCTTCTGATGGCAACTTTGGCTGATCAGCTTTAACCTAGGGACAGCAATGCAGCAAGTGAGGTTTATTCAGGACACCACATGAGCATTATGCAATGAAGTTACACCACAGAGAACACACTCTTATAACTGCTACAGACTTGACGCACTTTAGCCTGCACAGTAGCTCCAACACTGCCTCAGCACTGACACTGTTCTTGGGCTCCATGCCACAAGCACCTCCTCAGCATTTTAAAGCTCCTTAAAAAGTGACTGGCACATAAACCTGATTTACTGTTTACCAGATCTACACCTGTGTTTGTTACCTTTTATGCATGCAGTCAGGTCCCATCGGGTTATAAAAACAACTGGAAGAAACTGCACTCAAGACAGTTTGACTTTTAGCTTTGGTAAGTTTGTACTTGCATACACAAACCATCACACACAGAATTCAAGAACTGTTCTATGGCAACCCATCTGTGTAATATCCATATCAAAACTGGCTCACATCTAGCAACCATCAGAGAAGGACAGGATAAGCCCAGATTGCCTATAAGGGCCAATACAAACACAACTCTAGACACATCAGCGTGTCCGCTTGAGAGTAAAAATTGGGTTTGGCCATTTGCACTGGAGAGTGGCGAGTACTGAGCTCAAGCACTAAGGCTCAGCTTTGGCTTCTCCACAGGCTCAGTCATTAATGAGAGCAGCTACAGTGTCCTCAGCTAACAGCCTTCTTCCTCCCCCACACCCCAAGCGGAACCCACTTCCACTTTAATACCCTACCCTCTGCCCACCAACACAGCCTCTGTCCCAAAGAGCCTCAGACATGGTAAATCACACTCTGCTTAAAAATTAATTTATCAGAAAGCACTTGTACACTGAGCAGTGGGTTGCTACAAGATTAGTTTCAATATTCCTTAACAGATGCCATAAAAGCCTTTACTGATGAACTGTAGAGTCAATTTTTTTAACTTTGCTTAATCCAAATACATTCTAACATTCCTTATCAAACTATCACAAAGTAATACTGCCATTACAGAGACTGCAGCACCAGTGAACTTTAGAGTAGCTGTTCAGCACCTCCCTTTTTTTAATTAAAAGTCCGAGATTCAGAGTAGTAGCTTCACTTAGTTTAAGTACCTCTACACTGGATTCTTGCACATGTGCAGGCGTCCTGAATTTGTATACCAGATGAAGAGCATGCAACTCCCCGTGCTAAAAATGAAAGGGAAGACATGTTCAAAAAACAATCACTTTTCTTGATTTGTTTCAGTGCATAAAAGTTTTATATTTATATATATATATTTGATACATATATATATACACATACACACACCTTCGGCAGCAACTCTCTCAGATAATGATGATCCAGCAGTAGTTTACCACAATAAATCAGTTTTTGGTCCTCTTCAGGCTTTGAAGAAAGAAAATAAAGAACAGTATGATTTGCTCTGCCAATCAGACACCAGCATTAACTGACAACTTGCAGCCAGATGGACAGAGGGACACAGCTGGAAGCACCCTACGTACTAAGGTACATTGTGCACATGGAAATTCAGCTTATGAAAACAAGTCAACACTGAAGTGCAAGATGTACCAATGAAGTCTAAGTCAGTAGGAGGCTATAAAGTACTCCTTTAGCAAAGGACATGGTTACATGCCACCTCCTTTAGAATGCCAAAAACATCTGTGCTGCTTAAAAGAGAGGTTTGAAATACAATCTGACCAGCACTGGAGGTGGTAGTATCAAGTCAACACGTTACACCCCACGAGATGAACCCCAGCACATGAAGATAAAACCCTGTGCCCTTTCCACCGCAGCCCAGCAGTGGGCGAAAGCACAATGATCCCTGCTCCTAGGAAATCTCCTCAGGAAAGCAAGGCAAAAAGCGCGTCCTCCTCCCGAGACAGCGCCTGTGGGGACCGCGGAGCTGGGCTCCTGTTGTGCCGGCCCAGAAGGAACTCAAGACTTCTGCATTCTCACGTCTAAAATCCCAGCTGAGCACTGACCGAGCCGCCTGCCCTTGGAGGAGTCAAGAGCCTGCGAAGGAAGGCGCCAAGGCAGCGGGTGCCACCCGCACACCGCTCCCCAGCCCGCAACCCGGGGAAAGCCGTTAATGTTTTAACAGTGGCCGAACGGGAGCCTGAGTTCAGCCCCCAACATCCCCCGCGCTGGAGGGCAGCTGGGTGCGGGACACTTCAGAAGGTCGGGGGTACAAACGGTCAGGGCTCTGCCGGGTGACGGGGAGGCCCCGGAAGCGCACCCCGGGGACGCGGCTGCGCTCCCCACAGCGCCCATGCGGCGGGAAGAGGCTCTAGCAGCGGGCTGAGAGGAAGCGGTGTCGCGCACTCACCGGTGCCCCGGGAACGAGGCCGCGCAGCTCGGCCTTGAGGCGCCGCACAGTCCAGGTGGGCTCGGCGCGCAGACGCAGGTCCGGATGCCGCTGCGTGGGGCTGCGGATGAGCAGCAACAGAGACCCCTCCATGGCGGTGACGCGGCCTTAAAGCACCCCCAGCTGCCGGCCGAGCCTTTTATAGGCCGGCTGCACGCCCCGCCCTGCCGCAGGGCTGCGGTGGCTGCAGCTGATTGGCAGAGGCGGGAGCGGGGAGAGGGACTAGGACGTGGACCAATGGGACGGAGGCCCGCGGGAGAGGGAGGTGGCGGGAGAGGTAGGAGCTGATTGGGGGCCGACCGGCGATGGGCGGGGACTCCAAGGTCGACGCGGCGTCACCGTGACAACCGCGACCCCCGCCCCGGGCCTCCCAGGGCCAGAGGCAGGCGAGCGAACGCCGACCCGCAAGAGCGGGCCCGGCCTCGGCTCCGAGGGGGGCCGGAACGCATCTGATCCTTCAAACACCCACCCCGCAGGCCCGCCAAAACCTGCGTCCATCGCTGACAGCGCAGGAGTTACCCCAGGTCCCCACAGCCCGTGAGGCTCCGCGGCAGGCTCCTGCGCTGCGATTTCTGGTCTTCCACTCACGCAAGAGCTGCAAAGTGCGGGGTCCTGACTTGGGTCCCCACAGCCCCACGCAAAGCTCCAGGCTTGGGGAAGAGTGGCTGGAAAGCTGCTCGGTGGAAAAGGACCTGGGGATGCTGAGTGACAGGGCTGAACATAAGCAGCTTGTGCCCAGGCAGCCAAGAAGGCCAGCGGCATCCTGGCCTGTATCAGCACCAGTGTGGCAGCAGGGCCACGGCAGTGATGATCGCCCTGTACTGGGCACTGGTGAGGCTGCACCTTGAATCCTGTGCTCAGTTCTGGGCCCCTCATTAGAAGAGAGACTTTGAGGTACTGGAGCAGGTCCAGAGAAGGGCAGCGGAGCTGGGGAAGGGCCTGGAGCACAGGTGTGATGGGGAAGGGCTGAGGGACCTGAAGGGGGTTTAGACTGGACAAGAGAAAGCTCAAGGGGGACATTAATGCTTTCTACAACTACCTGACAGGAGGATGGAGCCAGGAGGTGGCTGGTCTCTTCTCCCAAGGAACAAGGGATGGGACAAGAGGAAATGGCCTCAAACTGCACCAGGGGTGGTTTAGACTGGATGTTAGGAACAATCTTTTCCCCAAGGGGTGCTCAGTCATTGGAACAGGCTGCCCAGGGTAGTGGTGGGGTCACAGTCCCTGCAAGTGTTCACAAAAGGTATAGACAGGGCCCTTCATGACATGGTTCAGTGGTGGCCTTGGCAGTGCTGAGGAACGGTTGGACTCGATGATCTTGAATGTGTTTTCCAACCTGGGTGATTCTATGATTCCACCACACATCAACTTCGACAGCAGCGCCAGTTTTAGGGATCCCTGACTTCGCTCCTCCCTCTCCCCTTCTCCTGCAGCTCCCTGTGGGGTGCTGTGCACGCCAGATCCACAGCCTGGCCCTGGTGAAACGTCAGTTTTCCGATGGTTGTTTTACCAGATCTGTGTAGTTACCTCAACAGGTTTGTTGCTGACTTTGTGGGACAGAGCACACCATGCTTCTGTGTGGTGCAAAAGGAGTGTGCAGGGAGGTTAGAGAAAGGTGGCAATTCAAGAACTTACCACTATTAAAAAAAAAACACCAAATGAAAACATAAAAATGTGCAACAGCAGCTTCTGAGCCCTCCTCCCCATCTTCCTTTGAGATGTGATCCAGCACCGGGAAAAACAGTGGTAATGATCCTGATGCACCAGGAGGGGGTTTTAGTGTACTTTAAGACAATATCATAGGAATGTAAGTTTTATCTGCCAGCACCATGTGTTTACTCTGCGTGTTCACCAGTATTCCTTGGCAGCCAGACCTGTTGCCAAGATGCATGGATGAGCTTACAGCCAGGATCAGATTTTCCAACCAGAAAAGACACTCCACCATGGGGAGGCATCACCTCACTGCTTCCTGGGGAATAGCTGCAAAGACATGAGCTGTGACAACATCTGCTCTACAAACCCTCCACAGCTGCCAGGGTACACACTTGCAGGGCTGGAGATCCTGTGCAGCATCCCTCCCCACAGCAAGCACTGCAGCTGGCCTCAATCCCCATTCAGCTCTGTGGCCCCATCACACCAAGGAGACACTGTGTCAGGGACCCGGATCCATGTCTTGCAGCAGAAGAGGGAAAGAACAATGCAGTGTCCGAGCCTGCCTGTGCAAATGTACCCCCCTAAGGTCAAGGTGACTTTGCTGCTTGATCAGGTGCAGGCTTTACTTGGAAGTGCCCAGAGGGAGGAAGGTGCAATGCAAAGCTGTGCAGAGGCTGATGTCAAACAAAACGCTCGGGCTCCAAGTGTATGTTTTGCTAGGACTCCTTGTGCCTGTGGACCAGGTGTGCAGCTGTAGTCGCAGCAGTAATCCTGCCTCCAGCTCCAGCTCCTCTGCTTCTCCCCGCCATGGTCAAGAGGGACAGAGCTCGCCCAGGCTGCCCACTGCATTGCGCAGAAAAACACTGGGAAAACCACCTGCTGATGGGAACATGCTGGACAGCACCAGCACTGACCCAGCTTTGAGCAGGGAGTGGAGAAGAGACCTCCTGAAGTGCCCACCAATCTGAGTGCCAGACCTTTGCACATCCCCTCCAAGCTGGGGTACTGAGCCCCGGGGAGAGCCTGTAACAGCCTAGAGCTGGTTGACCTGGGATTGTTGGACATGTCTGGACATTTGGTAGCACATATTCCTATCCCAGAGGCTGATTCACAGCTCCTAGTACTAAGACAAAACAAATACCTGCCCCAATAGCATCTGCTTAGTTTAGGTCTCAATTCAGGGGCATGGTGCAAAATGGAATGTGTGACCAGCAACTCACCCCAGTGGCCTGCCGAACAATTAACTCCCACTTACCAAAACTGGAGATGAAGGGCTGCAAGCTCCTTTTGTCACTGGTGCCTGTGCAAATATTAACTCTGGTCTAAATCAGGGTTATCTCTGACCTCAGAATGAAAAGAAAGCAAAACCACGGCGGGTGGGAAGGATTGCTGATGAGTTTACAGCTCTGTGTGCCAGGCTTGCTGTCACTGCAGGAGCAGCCAGTGGGTGATCTGGGGGGTATGTGTGGGGGTGTCCCGCAGCCTCACAGACTGCTGGGTTCCCTCTCTCCCCTGCAGTGTAAGGAAAGAGCTTGTGGGACCCACGGCCTGGCCCCGTGGGACCGGTGCACTGGTGGTGCCGCGGCTGATGCAGTTTTGTGCTGGACAAAGGTTGCTCCACAGGCCGGGATGGGGCAAGGATCGGAGAGCTGTGTGATCCAGAGAAGCCAGGCTGGTTTACAGGGTTCAGATCAGTGTGTTTGTTCAGCAGGAAGCACTGCCCTTTGTAGCTTCATGGTAGGTTTCATGGTGCTGCTGCCATGCCCCAGCAGCCGCTGTGGCAGCTGCCTCAGAGCCTGTGAGCAGGACTTTAGCCTTGGTTGGTGACCCTGGTGCTGGCAGCACACTCCGGCATTGTGCAGGCAGAGCTGCACCATGGGGGGGATGCCTGAGTATCCCAGAGCACTGCTGTGCCTGCACAGATCTGGTTCCACCAGAGACACGTCCTGAGGGCATCACCCATGGGCGCACAGGCAATACTAGGAGATAAGCGTCTCCCAGCCCTGCAATGGTACAGTGAGATGAGCACTTTGCTGTACACCCAGTAAATTCCTTGCACACAGATGCCATAAAATCAGTCGGGTTGGAAAAGACCGTCAAGTCCAACCATTACCCCAGCACTGCAAGACCACCATTGGACCATGTCACAGAGGGCCTATCTGCACAGTTTGTGAACACTTCCAGGGATGGTGACTCCACTACTGCTCTCGGCAGCCTGTTCCAATGCCTGAGCACCCTCTGGGGAAGAAATTGTCTGTGATCTCTAGTCTAAACCTCCCCTGGTGCAGCTTAAGGCTGTTTCCTCTTGTCCTATCCCTTGTTCCTTGGTAGAAGAGACCAGTCACCTCTGGCTGGACCCACTCCAGCACCTCAATGCCTCCCTTGTGGTGAGGAACCCAGAACTGAGCACAGGATTCAAGGTGCAGCCTCACCAGTGCCAGTACAGGAAGATCATCACTGCCCTGGCCCTGCTGCCACTCTGGTGCTGATACAGGCCAGGATGCCGCTGGCCTTCTTGGCTGCCTGGGCACAAGCTGCTCATGTTCAGCTCCATCACTCCGTACCCCCAGGGCTTTTCCCCAAGCCTGGAGAATTTCAAGGGGTTGTGAGGACGCAAGTGCAAGACCTGGCATTTTGCCTTGTTTAATCTAATCCGATTGGCATTGGCCCATTGATCCAGCCAGTCAAATACCTCTGCAGATTCTCCATCAGATCTCTCCTACCCAACCCCTCAGTAAAGCAGCTCGTCCCAAGATGACAAATCCCGCCAGACAGGTAACGAATCCTTCCGGAGGGCAGGGGGTGAATCCAGCAAGAACGTGGAGCACGGGGCTGGAAACCTCGTACCAGTGGCCCTCGGCACCGCGCCCACGGCTCGGCTTGCACGGAGCTCCGCCCGTGCCCTCCTGCTGCCGAGCCGGGGCTCCAGCCGGTGACACCCGCGGGACTCAGCGGGGACGCTGCTGCATGTCAGACCGTAGGGGCTCCGGAGCGGGGCGGGTGCCTCGCGGTGGGTTTAATTGTGCCGCTAATGAAGGGCCCGGGAGCGGGTGGGGGGGAAGCAGGGGAGAGGGGGGGGCGCTGCTGCCCTACGGTCCCGCCCCCGTTGCCACGGCGACGTTGTCAGCAACCCTCCGGCCACGCCCCCCGCCCTGCCTGGCCAATGGCGCGGCGCGTCCGACCTGATGGCCGGTGACGTCATGGCCGGTGAAAATCCCCGGTGGCCGCGGGAGCGGCGCTGGCGGCGGCGTGGGGCCCGGCCCGCAGCATGGCCAAGCACCACCGCACGCCGGCGCGCTCCGCCGAGCCCGTCATCGAGGTCAAGAGCAAGGTAAGGACCGCTGGGTCGGAGCCGCGCAGGGGCAGGAGATACCCACTCACGACCGGCCGCGCCGGTCAGCACACGTGGGACGGCACCGCACACGGGGGAGCGGCGCGGGA